AGAATTTTTAGCTTTTACATTATTTTTAAATTAGTATTACGAAGTTTGGAAAAATTTTCATGTAAGTGTTTCAGCATCGTAGGCGAAATTCTTTTGCTAAAACAATCATTAATGAGACAGAAATGATGCAAAGATTACGTAAATTATTAAGTATAATATACTTACGTGACGTATGAAGCAGTTTTTTACTCATTCTTATATTGTTTAACTGATTCAAAGATTACGTAAATTGTCAAGTAAAATATACTTACGCGACGTATAAAGCAGTTTTTTACTCATTTTTATATTGATTAATTGATTCTAACTGATCAATTTTGTATTGCTTACTGAATTTTATCTATGAAAATTATCAGTTAAAAGCTGTTTACTTTTCACAAACATCGTAAAATTAATTGATTCAGTTGTTTACTGACAATTTTACATTGTTTGAAAGTAATAATTGATTATATAAAACAGTAACAAATTAAAAATATTACTTAATAATTCAATATTTATTCAAGCTTTCAATATTATTCTGAATTTGAATATATTTTCGCTTTCACTCCATTAAACACTCTAATTCAAATTTTGTTTCTAAAAAATTATTTTTAGAATCTCAAAAAAATTTGAGAAGGATTTCTTGATTGTGAAGCATTTACAACAATGAGTAATAACAAGACGGATAAAGTAGTTGATGACAAGGAATTAATCAATGGTGATAATGATGATAATGATGATGATGTTGATGATATTGGTAAGGATGAAGTGTCCTGGGAAACAGTTTCATATCTTCCAGGAAGTAAGGAAGACTTCGTTAGTCTAATTAATGCAAGCAATGAAAGTGACGGTTGGGTACGTAAATATCGCGATTATGACTGCTATCAGAAAATGCTAGCACCGGGAAAGTTACATTTTGTTTCTGCAAGAACAAAAAGTAAGTTTTAGTCTTCCTGTATAGCAAATACACACATTTCTATCTGAGTAAATCGTACTTCAAGGATTGAGGAAATTAGACTTATAGTCTAACTTAAAGTATTGTTTTATGTGTTGCATTGATAGAATTAGCAAAGTTATGTCACAATTTAAATCCTAAAAATTGAAAATACAAAAGGATTCAAGTATGAGAAGACTAAATTTAACTTGCAATATTCATAAATTTTTGTTTGCTTGTTTTGTATATTCAAAAAATTGGTTTATTTTGCAGTTACGTTTTAGTCCTTTTGTATAGCAAATATACAGATTTCTATCTGAGTAAATCGTACTTCAAGGATTGAAGAAATTAGACTTATAGTCTAACTTAAAGTATTGTTTTATGTTTTAGAAGTAATAACTGAGTGAGACTAACTAAAAAATTGAAGAATGCATGTAATTATATTATCATATAATAAATTTTAGATTCTTATTTTGCATATTTAAAAAGAATTATTTTTGTAATTTTTGAAATGATAAGCAATAATTTGAAATATTTAAACGAATTTTGCTTTTATTAAATAAAAATTTTGTAGTTGGCGAATATGTTGGCTCTTGCATATGTATGGAATTCGATGATTATGCATTTGTTGCAATGTATTATGTACGAGCTGAGTATCGGAAAAAAAAGATCGGTACAGAACTGTTCAAGCGAGTTGTTGATGACAAACTTCGGAAGAAAAATATTGGCTTGCATGCTGGCAAGTTGCAAACTTTTTTTGCTCATTTTGAATTATTTATTTATTTTTGTTAATTGCAGAAAGTGAACAGAAGACTGAAGCAAAATAATAGTTATTAGCAATAATAACTTGAAATATTTGAACAAAAAATAAAAATATTAAAAAAAAAAATACATTTTAGAGCACAGAATGTCATCTATTTACGATCAAGTACTTGGCTTCAGTATTCGAACATCTTGGGTAGCTGATACTTTCTTTATTAAAAATATCGATATTACCAAAATTATTGGTATTTTCATGATTTTACAATTATTTTAATTTTTGATTATCAGAGTAAAATTTGACACATCTTATTATATCACATGATAAAGATACTTTTTTAATATGTACAATAAAAAATGATTTTGTGTATTTTTGAAGAGTTGATCAAAGTGTTATTTTTATTAATTATTAAAAGTAAATGAAAATTTGAAACTGGTTTTTTGCAGTACAATAAAAATTGAACTTGACTTCCTTACTAGCTACCATGAAAAAGTGGCATAATTTTAGGTGGCATAATTAAGCTTAAATAGCGAATGCTAGCAGTAAGTATATGATTGTAATGAATTTGGATTAAAAGATTATACCTTTCTTTCAGTGCAAAATACTCCGCTAATTATAAAAGATGCCAAAGAAGTAGATTTATCGCAGATCGTTGATTACGATGCAAAAGTGGTCAAATGGCGCCGTGAAGGCTTCGTTAAGCATTGGGGTGTTGATCGTGTCGATGCTGTTTGCAAGGTATGTAAGCAGTAGGAACGAAACTAAAAAGTTTAAGAATAGTTTTAAAATAGCTGATAACGATCAGCTAGTATTAATTAAAGATATATTAGTAGAAAGCCAGATAAATGAATCGGTCATCAGTTTCATTTTTTATTCTGCCCAGTTTATAATTTGAATTGTTTAGTTAGCTATGATATCCTAATTTCAACTATTACCATATTTTGATCAAACATTAAATCTTTTTAGGTACTGGTAAATTCAGAAGGAGAAGTAATTGGATATGGATGTGGTCGTTTACTATCAATTGTGGGTTACCCGACCTTTGGACCCATTTACTGTGATTCTGATGATGGATTCAAGCTTCTCTTCCATGCTCTAGCATCATGCTTTAATATTGAGCTGAAGGAGCAGAATTTAATATGTTTACGTGTTTTATCAGCAAAATCAAACGCAATCCAACAAGTACTTTATGGTGCTGCTGCTGATATCGAGAAGGTTGATAATTTTTTTCGATTTATTTTTCATTTTCAGTATAGAAAATAGTTTTGAAACTACTTTTGCTACAAAAAATAGTAGAATTTTGCTTCAATTAATAGAATATTTTGAGTCATTTCATATTAAGAAAGTGAGGTGAAATATTTAGCAGATGTAATTATTATTAATTGATAAAGTATTAATCATTATTATGATAATTACTACTTTAAACGTTAGATACAGCAAAAAAATCTTCTGAAGTTCTCAAATGACTGCGGTCTTTAACTTCACTTCATGCTACTTTTGTTATTATTTCAGAAAATGTACTGCACTCCACAATTCACGAAAACAATACCAGATCACGATGTCAGCAAAATTTATTGCATAGCGGATCTGACTATGTTTATTTAATTTCTCTATATATCACAAGTTTAATAATTATTATCTTGAAATATCTAAAAATTTTACCATTTGAATAAAGCAAATTATCTTATTTTGAATGAAAACTGATGATGATGAATTGGCCAGGATGACAGTTCGATGTTCTTCTTTTCATACCACTTTCTACACGAATCCTTATTCAAATGTAATACTACTTCTAACAAATATAATTACATACAGTGTTTATCCATTATCAGAAAGCACTTTTACGTCAACATGGAAAACATTGCACAATTTAAACGTCTTCACGTGTACTTTAATAGGATAGAAGAGGACAACAATGCCAGAAATAAACTTCCCGCACATATTCATTAATTCTATTGAATAATTGAAATTTCGTTCAGTCTGAATTTGCTGAGATTCGACATATTGTAATAAATATTTATTGTTCACAAGAGCTGGCAAGTTTTTGAAAAATTTGCGTAAAATTAATGAAAAAACCGAGGTTGCACCATAACCCAAAGGAAGGAATTGGTTTTCAATTTGTATTAATTGTTAAACATTTCTCTCTTTGGCACTCTAAACTGTGCTATATCACTACTATATCACTGTTACGTATTACGACGATACGTAAGATCTTAATTCAAAGAATACACTTAAAAAAGGCTAGTCGCAGCGGGCAGGATTCGAACCTACGCGGGCAGAGCCCATTTGATTTCTAGTCAAACTCCTTAACCACTCGGACACCACTGCATGCATTAATCCGACCGTCTCCTTTCGAGGCTACTTTGTTATTTATCACTTTAGTGCTGTTATAAATGGTCTCATTTAAAATTTTCTTGTCCGCTAATTCATACCTATATCTTATTTTGTTTTTAAGTGACGTAGATTTCATAGAAAATAGGAATATACAGTGTCTAGCTTATACGTATATTATTACGTAAGTGGTTAGTTACGTGCATATGCTACTAGATAACCAGAAGTTTATTTTTCTTCCTTTATTATGAATTATTTAAATTCTTGATTTAATAATACGTTAATCCGCATTTTTGTGAAAGAAATAAATGTTAGCGAAGCTAATTATGAAGATGTTTTTCGTTATTATTTATAATTGCAGAATATTAGAAATCATTCAGTCACCTGAATGAAAGAATATAATTTCAGTGGTAACAGAAAAGACTGGGAAAATATGTGAGAATTCATGTAATATCAGAGTAGTCGAGGTTGAGTAAGAAGAAAGCACTGTAGCAAAAGATAGTGAGTTAGAGATTAAAACAGAAAAAAACATTGTAGCAAAAGCAAATAGTGCAATAGTATGTATAATGAGATAAAGTTTTGTACTGTTGATTGAATGCCAATAATTAAGAATTGATCAGATTGCAAAGTGATATCTATTTTAGCGCAACCAGAAGGACGAGGAGAAACAATTCGTGAAACAAAACGTTTGAAAGATGTCCTCTGAGGAAGGTGCTTATGGCTCTAATCATGATAGTAACAATAATTCCTAACATAACGGCCTAATACAGTGCTGTTTTATAAAGCTTCTTCACAGTCTTCAAAATTAACAGATTCATGATTTCCAGGAGATGCAGAAGGAGATGGTTCACTCTCGAGACAAAGTGTAAGATCTTCAACAACAGGGTTTAGACATCTTCCACTAGCTAGAATTATCGCTCAGCGTGAGGTAAGACCACTTGTAAATTGGATGTTATTCACTTGTAATCTACTATATTTGGTATCGATCATGAAACTCTGGTTTTCGGTTTTTTATTCGTGGTTCTTACTTTAAGGATCTGTGTTTAATGCTGCAAGGCCTAGTTTCAGTTTTTGATTTTTTATGATTGCTTATAATAGTAAGAGCCTTAATGTAAGATTAGCATATCTCGTTTTCAGTTATTAATAAACGATAAAGCAATTTGATGTACCAGTTCAGTTGTTTTAGTGATGAAGTCAACATTTCTGTCAAATAATTACTGGTAGAGTATGAAGTAGAAAATAAGATCTTTTCAGTCTTTTAGTATGTTTTGAAAGTTTTGAAAATTTTCAAGCACATATTTTTTACGTATTGGAGATTTATGGAACATCGAAACTTCTACGCCGACTGACATGTCGCATACATCTTGAGCATCTTGAATGTCCTTACTTAGTGCAGATTTCTGGATTAAGGCGTTTTCTGAACATAATTCGAGAGTAAGAAGTTTTTCAATTCTAGTTCGTTATTTACCAGCTTTTGTTACAAACTTGTTTAATCTTCAGTAGATAAATTATAGAATGCATGCTTTATTTATTATAATTTGGCTCTTAAAGAGAAACTTTTTTGGATTACAATTTTACTAGTTCGGTGATAGTATAGTAGATTCTTGAAAGTCAAAAAATATATACACGTTTATTTATTTGAACCTAAACGCATCCTAGATCATATTTCATGGTATTGATTTATACTGAAGATAATTATAATATTTTGAAACTGCAGTTTGAAAGTTCAGGAAGAATTTGTATTATCAAATTTACTAGCACAATTTATCGCTCTTCGTAATTTTAGTTTTTTTTTCTTTAGTTCTTTAAACATGTTGTGACTTCAGATTAAAGTTAGTTAATTTCAGGTGCATATTTCTAGGGTTTTCAAATGATTCTCGTTATGTGGTTGCTTTGCTCTACTTGTTACCTCAGTCGTACCGATTAGGTTAATTCTTATGTTGTTAGTGACCTTGTTTTATATTCAGAGTGATTACTAGTCATCAGAAATAAATGATTCTGAATCCATGATGTTAAAGTAGTTTTCAATTTTGTTTTCATTTCAGAAGGAGACGATGACTCGACAGAACTCCATGTTATTGTGTTTGAGCTGTCAACAACTATCATTAGACCCGTAATTTTCTTCGTTATCTGGCTTAAACTGATTACCGCCATTTCGTCATTGGAAAGCAAAATTTTATACTTTAATTCAAATTTTTACAGGCATTTATTACAAAATTCCCATATTGGCCTTCCACTGCAAAAATTTTTGCAACATTTCCTCGGAATTCTTCACATATATCGATCATCGGTTTCGCGTTAGTCTTTTTCTCTGCAATAATTTCGATTTTTTCCATACCAAAAAGATACTGAATATTTTGAAATCATAAATGTTAAATTACTGAGCACAGTACTACTAAAAGCTCGTGGAATACATTTTTTTAACACTTTTTCATTTCATTTCAATTTCTGATCGAGGTCTATAGTTTGATGCTTATTCCATTGTTTTTTTTGTTTTTGTTTTTTTGAAATAGATATAAAGCAATGAGCGTTTGGGATCAGTGTTATGATATTCAGAAATTTCAGGAAGCAGAATAACGAACCTGCAAACATTCGTGCTATAAGGGAAAACGTAGAACCCTATTCCGTTATTGCCAAAGTTAAATTCATACTGTTTCGTTTTAACATCACTGTTTCTTTTACTACGTATCTTGTGATGTCTTATCGATGGGATAACGAATGTAAACTTTCAGGGTGCTTTTTCTCACTTCGTTCACATGCATTCTATAATTAATATTCGACACTTCTTTATTTTTAAGTATACTTATTAAATGCATTTACTCATTTACTTGCTTCAGTTATTTGAAGGTATTATTTGAAGGTATTGAAGAACTTTATCAATTTATTTCGTTTTGCAGGTCTTAATTTTTTTTATAGGACGGTTCTTCGTTCTACAGATCAGGGTGGAATTATTAATGCCGGTACCTCGTTAGTTTCCTATATGTTCACCAAAGATTGCCCTCCTGTAAAAATTGATGATATGATGCGCATGGTTTGTAAATAAGTTGTGATTTTTCTTTGTCGAAATTTTCTTATCATATTACATAGTCCTTCGTATCCATAAATGAGCATTGTTTTTCATCGCATTTAATGTATGTACTGCATGCACTTCGTTAATTTGTGCTTTGTGCAATCTTTATGGGAATTATTTTACAAATTCTTCAGAGCACACTGAACGTCATCTTCAAGTGATACAGAGATTGCAGGTACTGAAGGTTGTTGATTCAAAAGTAGTGGATGATGGCTTACCTATTATTAGCCAGGGGTGTAATTCATATGAAATCGAGATCGAAGATGCAATCACTTGTTATGGAAATGTTCCTCGAAACTATAATATTAAAAAAGTCTTTGCCACAGGTTAGGACTCGTATTATAGTTACATTAATTTTTTAATTAGCACTGGAAAATATTAATATTTTAATGCAAAAAGTTCCGCTATCAGTAAAGAGCTTTTAAAACGTTATTTTACTGATCAAGTAAGTTATTTTTTGAGCATTCTTTCATTTTATTCATTTGTAATAATGAACTAAATTTTAATGCTCTATGAAATTTAGAGACAAATCCTTCCGCCGATGGTTTAAGAGAGCCACTATTCATCACTGAAACTGTCATTGACATAGAACGTCTGCTTTATGAAATTTTACCTATATTTTTTCAACGTTTTTATGGTGCATACAATTATGAAGGGCTTATTGATTACGAAGTATTTATAACTTTATTTTGATAATTAAAAGAAATGCTTAAATAATGCGGTCATGTTTTACTAACTTACTGCCTTTGTAACGAAGAATTTTAAATCACTTTTTCGTGTATTAGTGTTTCTGCTTCTTATTTGGGAAAGCAGGTTTTGATCGCATAAGTTAGAAAAACATAACTTGTACTGAAATGCCTTTATGATATTTTTCTTCAAACCAAGTATTGAAATCAGCCTTTGTTTTAATCCTTAAAATTTTTAAAATATTGTTCAGACTTTCTGTAAAAATTGAAATAAAGTTGTTGTGGATGTAATTTAAAGTACTGGGCTTAATATTATACGATCACCGAAAGTTTGGGTAATCGTGTAATATGTACTGAAATGAAATCTAAAAATTTGTTTCAAAATTGTCTTAGCATGATGTTATTAATGCTAGTATCTTTTTCACTTAAAGATTTAATTGCTGTAGGTGGATTTGCTGAGCTATGAAAATTATGTTGCAAATTTTTTGCTAACCTCAGTTGTCGAAGCAAAAGGACCTGGCATAAAAGGCAGGAATTGTGCTTACATTACTGTATTCAGTGTTGAATGGGATACGTATGAAGGTATGTCATTTTTTTTCATTTTTTAGACTACCTTTCGGGGCGAATTTTGTGTTGTTGCAAGTCATGTACTTCATCAAACATTCATCTTCGGCGAGATTAGGACTTTATTCACAACGTTATGATTTATCCCAAAGTTATTCCTTTGACATGAAGCAATTCACTGGTTCCTGGGCTACTTTCATAAAATTTTTTAAAAATTATTCATTTACTTTACTAACAAAAAAATTTTAGGAACGCGTAGCGTATTCCCATTTAGAGGTATACGTTTAATACCTTGGTCAGTTGCTCGTCGTCCTAATTGGTGGTATCCCTTTAACGTAAGTGCATTTTCTGGAGAACATGCACCAGAAGATCGTGTCATATCCAATATCCCATTTTTAGATGGTAAGCTTTCTAAATTAGAGCTCTGAAAATTCAATTAGCTTTACTTGAACCTAATTACTATAATATTTACAAATATCACAATCAAATTGAAAAACCTTCTCGTCTCTTTTTTCTCATTTTACTAAATTTTTTTTCATCAGCTGTCACATGTACAAAGTTATCTCCATTCTCTGATTTGAGAAATTTGATTTGTTGCAGGTAAAAGCTTACGTTGCTTGTCGTCTCCATCACCAGGAATCTCTCTTTGGAGAGATGAAGGATTTTATTGATGCATTCATTAGATGTGATCAACTACATCCTCTTTATCTGGGAGTATATAACGGATTTAGTATTCCGTTCATTTGATGTTAATTCCTTGTATTCGAAATCACTTGCATACTTTCTGCAGCAGGCGTTTTACCTTGTTTTATCACTCGTACTTGTGCGTTGGAAAATGCCTCTTTTAACGTCAATTTATGATACCAAAAATTATCGAAGTTGGTTCAAATTGTTAAGTTTTACTTTTATGAACTAATTGAACTTGTGATTTACATAAAAAATTGACTTCAATTTGTGTGCATGTGTTTTACAAACAAATAGCACAAAACTATGGAGTTCATGGTCACCAACAATTCATGTGCTTACATCTCCATATACATCTCAGTTGTCACTCATGTATGGCAAAAATCATATCCAGATAGGTCTAGGAACGATTTTGAATGATAGCTAAGTCATGTTCTTTTAGCTGAAAGATTTGACTTTGAACTGTAATAGGAGATCTTTTGGGTTTTCTACCGAAGATGAAGTGCATATCGTTTGTATATTGCTCAGAAAGGTAAGTCATGGTAGTGTTAGAGAATAATGATTGCAAGCCAAGTATTTCAGTTATATGAAGTTCGTTACTTAAAAGATACAAAAAATATTACATTTCATAGAGTTTTTTTCAGTCTCTACGCAGGTTAATTCAGACTAGATTAAAATCTAGAAAAATAAATTGATGAACACTGCACTCAAAAAGAATATCTGGAAAGGAAAAAATGTTAATCTGGAAATTCAGTCAACATCTTACAGGAATACACTTACAGTTATTTTATTCAGGCCAGATTTTTCCGTTAATTGTATGAAGAATCTTGAACTTTTTTTGTACCTCGAAGGAATTTTTAGAGAGAAGTTTTCTCTCTGTTTCGGTATGAAATAAATGAATATTAGATTAACTTATGCTATGAAATCACTGAAAAGCTTATAAACATTGCTGCAATCGACACCTAAAGATTACTCAGTGAAAGTATACAAGACAAATGGCATGCATATTTATTAACCTGTAAAATTATAAGTAATAACCTAGATAACATGTATATTCATTAACTTGTAAAATTACAAGTAATAACTTAAGTAACTACTTGAAATGAGCAAAACTTCAAGAAAGCATGGGTAGTAGTATGAGAACAAGTAGTATTGAGTAATATGTAACTCTACGACACCCCTTCGGTTGTTCAGTTGTAGTACCTGAAATAATTTTGTTAAAACTGATGCTAATTGTTAGTATATTTTTCAATTTTCTATCAACAATCAAAACCGCTTGCAGTTGAAAGTCATAATTTTTGATCCGTCTCAATTTCTCGCAAATTGCGAATACATACATAAAATCCTGACAGAAGCAAAATTCGAAAGACACATGTGTCTAAATTTATTTTCTTGCATATTTTCTTCGTGAAATTCTTAAAATGTTAAATATAAAACAATAAATAAACAAAACAAGAAATTTAGCAGTCTTGTTCAGATGCAACATTATTTTGTCTTTTGAGAACTCACGAATTAGAATTGAAAAAAGCATTTCATTAGCTTATCTGATGCAAAGAAGCTTACTTGTTGTAGTACTTCCTGTTGTCTTCGTCTGAGTAGTTACTGTTGACTGGGTAGTGGTTTCCGTGACTTCCTGAAGAACAGATGACAAATAACAATTTACCAAAAGTCTTGTTATCTTACACCTGATTTCAGAAGTTGAAGTCCCAAAATGCGAATTATACAACAAAAATTTATTATAACCAGTTTTGTCGAAACTTATATATTTAAAGGCTTACGAATATTTTAATCAGAGTTGTAATAGAGGGGTCAAACCCGTCACAACAAATTTATGTCTAAGAAAATGTATTTTTAGAAGTTTAGTTTTTAGTTTGACGATTCATGTATGCCTATGAATTTTCACGTTCACTTGTTTTAGTTTAGATTTCAATTTCCATCAACCAAACTTATCCGAATATCTTTTTTCGTCACCTTTACATGAAGTTTGTTATAAATATATACAAATCACTATCGTCATTCGTAATTTGAATTCACAACTCAAAAAATGAAAAAAAAAATTAACCGTGTAAGGTGTGATTAGTGGCTTACGATCCACAGGATAAGGAAATGGCTTGTCCCAGTCTGATGATCCGTCTAAGAAGTTACTCATAAGTTGCGCCATGGGTCCAGCGCGGTCAGTAGGCACCATATGCCCAGCACCCTGAATACAATCGTGATAAATCAAATCACCTTCATATTAAATTATAATAATTATTCTTTTTAAAAATAAACAGAACATTGTCACCAAATTTATTTTTGTAATCAAAGCACTTCATTTCTTGAAGAAATTTTTGCAGGTTTCTATAAACAAACCTTTACAGTGGAAACGGTGATGGTCAATAAATCATTGGAAGTCTTAAACTCTTTTAAATAACCACCGATTTGTGGGCTATAACTGGAATTCATTTGATAATACCATGGCTTACGTACTATTTTTTCCTGTAAAGTCATATAAAAGATTATTTCTCCATAAATTGGAGGTGCATACTAGTAATTTATAATCAAGCCATTTTACCATGCTATTGTTTTTCGCAAACTGGTTCACGAACCATTGGGCTTCTAAAATTGGACATGCCAAATCTGTATCACCATTGTAAATGAGAATACGGAATTTATGTCCGCTATTTCTCGTCAGTTCAAAAATTTCTTGGAAAACCATAGACATGTCACTATGTTCCCATATATAGTGTTCGCCGACGTCAAAACTAGAAATGCAGTACAAGACTGTGATCTTTCAAGAGAAATTAAGCATTTATGTTTACTATTAATTAAAAAATATGACTTAAGAAGAGCGTGAACCAAACGTGACTTTAGGAACGCAACAAAATATCAATTTGCGACAGTAAATCACGGGAATTCAAAATTATAGATCCTTGTATCATTTTTTAATCAGCTGAGACTATCTCAAACTGTTTTTTATATTATTTTAAAATTTTCATTGCAAAAAAATTGACTATCGTACAAAAACTGACCTGCATAGAGACCAAGACTGAACGTAATTTGGCACATGAAGAGCTTCACGAACATCTGGTAAAGATAAATAACGATTAATTGCATGGTCTATGTAACACGGAAATCCTCCCACGTTATCTGTAGAGTAAGAGTAAACAAATCCCTGGAAGATATTGAGATTCTGCCCTGACTACGATTATTATACATATTATGTACCAAATTCAATGGTTTCTGATGAAATTTTCAAAATTAATTAAAGTAAAGACTTTTTGGAAAAAAAGATAAAAGTAATTAGAGATCAAGTTATAAAGTTTATGGCCATTTAGTAAGGGTTTTTAT